GAGAGAGAGAGAGAGAGAGAGAGAGAGAGAGAGAGAGAGAGAGAGAGAGAGAGAGAGTGTTCACTTGCAGAAAGGGCTGATAACATTACACAGACCTGTGATAGTTAGAGAAAGAGTTATTGTAGCCATTAAGGTTGGCCAGGCTCATGAAGCAGTGTGAGTGTTGGGCAAAGCTGCCAGCACCTCATTAATAAAGTGAATCWCAGACTGCAGTCATGCATCAGTCCAGGCAGAATATAATTCATTGGAAAAAACAGAAATTTAGGTTATATCTGTACACTAGATACACATTTATTTTATTTATTTTTTTGGGGGGTGGGGGTGTTATTATGTATTTTCCAGCCACAGTTCAATTCTATACCACAATCAAGTAACTGTTACCTTCAGTTGTTATGGAAATGCTGGATAAATCAAAAATAAATTAGACTTTATCATAGTCTATCTAATTGGTCTCTGTTTCTTTAAGAACCTCCTACCATTTCAGATACTCCCACTTCAGCATGTCTTCACAACAATGCTTCAGGGGAGGGGTGCTCTGTGGGGCAGGAGCTCGGCTGAAGACTGAGCTCCAGAGAGGAGCTTTCGGTACGTGGAGCTTTGTACCATCAAGTGTTTRGGCAGCTCCACTKCAGGAGATTCAAGGATTTCTTAAAGGGGCAATATTATGTGCTTTCCAACCCCATATTTCAATTTTATACTAAAATAAAGCAACTATGTCACATTTTCAGCTTATGTAAGAGCTACTGTATATGTAGTATTTGTAAAAATCCCCAAAACAGTTTAGTTTCTAAAAGTCTTGAAAGAGGTCTCTGTCTCTTTTGGGAAATCCAACCACTTTGGTCACGCCCATTTCAGCATGTAGCCTGCCAGAGTAGCGGAGCGGATGGGGTGGGGGGTCTTTGCCATGAGGAAGTTTGGCTTAAAGACATGTCCCAGAGGAGGAGCTTGTCCCAAAAGGACACAACCCAGGGGCGTTTCTGGTCCCAAAAGGTGTTTCTGGTCCCTACCTGTCGTTTTGCTCCTCAGCATAGCTGCCTAAAAACGCTGCAGGATTTCTCAAACATGCATGAATGAGTCAACGCAAGGCTTTGGGCATGATTTTTATGAGAGTATAACATTATAACATGATATAAAACTCAAAAAAGTTGATTTTACATAATATTGCCTCTTTAAACATGCATGAATGAGTCAAAGCAACACTCTGGGTATGTTTTTGACGAGGTAATGACATCATAACATGATATAAAGCTCAAAAAGTGTCAGTGAATATATTATGAATAGTATATAGTATATACTTTGAAACAATACACTTAAAACCATTTTTGTTCTTTATGCCAAATTAAAAACTTGCCTGTTGTGCCGTTTAAATAATCAATTGTTAAACAGTGCACTGATATTAGTATATGTAATAAAATAAACCTTGATTACTTTTCACTGACAACAAATTACATACACTCTGACATTTTTTTGTGAAATGCATAACAAGTATTAAAAGTAAAACAGCAGAAAAGAAAGTTGCAAACCTAAAAATGAAAACATCATAATAAGCTGATATTCTGCATCCAGACTGCTGAAGCCATGGTTTGTATTTCCTTTGCTTAAGCAGATGCCTTTATTAAAGAAACAAAACATCATGGGGCTTTGTACATCTTCTCAGATGTTTGCTTTAATGCAGAGTCTGTGAAAGACCTAGTGATAAATCAAATAGACACATAAAAACAGATAGTGTGCTATCCTGTGAGTGAGAATGCAGCGACAAAGTCTGATATAGTCTGATTTTAGATTCCTTAAAGATCCACTGTGAGGCTCAACAATTCTTGTGTCCCTACACTACTCAAACAGGCATGAGAAAATAAAAAGAGGCATGTCGATGAAGAGCATCAACAACTCTGTGGAAGTCAGTTATCTAACGAAGATCTTCAGATAAATGTGAAGGTAGAGGGGACAAAGCACAAGGGACAGGAGAACTGAAACAAAGGGAAGGCATGAGGAAAAAATGGAGTGGGAATAAAGTCTCCCATGGGACCTAAAAGACAGTAATTTACTGAGCGCAGTGGTGATGAAGGGAAATTATTTTTAGATGAGGTTTCTGGAACACCAAGAAAGGAGCAAAAGAAAAGTGCCCTGAAGAAAATCTTGATTACATCAATGTAGCAAGAAAACAGACATAAAATGCAAAGTTAATATATTCGCTTAAGAGAATATTGAAAAAAATAAAACATGGAGAGATTATTCGTATATTTAGTTTTCAACAATAATGTGCTAACATTTGAAGTTCATTCAAGCTATTCTGAGAAAYTGAAGTTAAGAAGCAAAGAATACTTTGGTCAAACGGCATTTCACTTCTTTCCCTAATTTTTTTAACTCAACATCTATGTTTTATGCATTCARGCTGCAGGGAAGTGTGTCCTGATTCTTTTTGAGATGTAAAGCAAAGACGTCAGGGCAAGTCTTTGTAACCCTTGAAAAAGAAACATTTATAGGACCACATTTTCAAATGTAAGTATTTTAAGTGTTATTAATCATTTTACTGGCACAAAAATCTTTGTCAATCAATGTCTAGTTTTATGTAGACTGATGGAATACATTTGGGAACATTTCTGACGAGCATTAAAAAGTAAAAATAGTGTTCAAATAATTAATCGTTTGTAAAATTTATTGTATTTTAATGTTTTATGTTTTGTCTTGATTATCCAACCATCCATTATCTATACCCCCTTCTTCCTTTCAGGATCACGGGGGTCACTGGTGCCCATATCTAGTAGTCACAGTGCGAGGGGTGGGTACACCCTGGACAGGTCGCAAGCCTCATAAATTTGTTGAGTATTGATTATGTCATTCTATTGTTTAAAATAAAAATCCATCCATCCATCCATCCATCCATCCATCCATCCATCCATCATCTATACCCCCTTCTTCCTTTCAGGGTCACGGGGGTCACTGGTGCCCATAANGACAGGTCGCAAGTCCATCATAGGGCCTGTGTCTTGATTATGTCTTTCTATTGTTTAAAATAAAAACTATTACAGACAAAGTTTAATTAGCTGTAGATGGCCTAGTCTTTAGGATAAAATCGTCAACAATGGATGTCATATTGATTTTTTTGTCACAGTGGAGTATTTTAGCTGCTACTTTGATTTAATGGTCAAGTGGTCGAAAACAAGGATATAAGATTTGTTCTTTGTGAAATTAATAGTTTACATGGTAGTTTCAAAAATCCACTTATTCCATATTTAAGATGAAACATGATTGAGCATGTTATTTAAAACCCATTCCTATTCTGTGGCGGCTGTGGCGGAGTGGTTAGGGGAGTCGTCCTGGAACCGGAAGGTCGCTGGTTCGGTTCCCCATCCAGCTGTCTCAGTCGTTGTGTCCTTGGGCAAGACACTTCACCCACCTTGCCTACTGATGGTGGTCAGAGGGTCTGGTGGTGCAGGTGTATGGCAGCCTCGCTTCTGTCAGTGTGCCCCAGGGCAGCTGTGGCTACAGTGTACTTTGCCATCATCAGTGTGTGAATGTGAGTGTGAATGGGTGAATGTCACTAACAGACATTCACCCATTCTGTTAGTGTAAAGCGCTTTGGGGTCCGGAGGGACTTGAAAAGCGCTCTATAAGTTCAGTACCATTCTAATAATAACAATAGTCTTATYCAGCATTTTTCGAGACCCTCAAAGACGCTTTACAATTTTCATGGATCATTCATTCACACACTGATGATAGTAAGCTACARTGCACCCACAGCTTCCCTGGGGAAGGCTGACAGGGGCAGGGCTGCCATACTGCACCACCGGCCCCTCTGACCACCATTAGTASGCAAGGTGGGCGATGCCCACACAACGACTGAAATGGCTGGACTGGAGATCGAACCGGCGACCTTCCGGTTCCAGGGTGACTCCCCTAACCACTCTGCCACAGCTGCTCTGCTGTGTTTTATCATTTGCTTTAACAGGAGGCAAAACTGCAACACCTTCATAAAGGTTTGCTTTAGGCTTTCCTTTTCTCTTTTTATTGCAGTTTATCTTGTCTGAGTGAGGCTAAAACATACTGATCTCCAGCCAAGTTCTCCAGCTTCTCCTGAAGGATTCCAGTGCTTTCACAAGTCGGAGGGGATGCAATCCCTTCAGGATTTTGAACATGCTTGACTGCTCCCTTAGGCGTTCAGTATAGCTGTTGGTCAGGTGTACAAAACAACTCAGCTGGCTTCACTGAGAGCAGAGAGAGTTTTTCTGGCTGTGCCAAAGAAACCTGCATAGACTGAAACTCATTTTAATGCATAAGTAAAGGTTGCAAAGGAGATTTACTGTGTGTCAACCATTTGACTACCAACAAATAGTGAACCTGGGATTCAAAAATGGTGTAAAATGAAGGGTAAGTGTAGCTAACCAGACCAGGAAATGGTACAAATGGTACGTTCACACTGCAGGTCTTGATGCTCAACTCTGATACATCTGTTTAAAAATAAGATGTTTTGGCATGAACGTTCACATTATATTTTAAATATGATTTCCATCTGACGTCAGTTCATTTTAAGCATACAGCACAATTAAGCAATCATTTTCACATATTGTATTTAAAAAAGGTACAATAAAATCCCTAATTCACATCATGTCTGTTAGCTCAAATTTCTGTCTAAAATAAAATACAATAAAAAATAAACTCTTTGTGAGACATCTCCAGCAGGAGTTTTTCATTTGGACTTGACATTTGCTTCTTTGATGCTCCTGGGCACAGAAGCATCAGAATAAAAAAATAAACTACAACAACAACAACGAGGAAAGTAGAAAATGATGTATTGGAAAATTTGTGCATTATTGTTGAATGAAAGCTCACGTTGCGTTTAGAATCCTAAAGGAGCAAATTTCAGAAAAGTATTCAGGCAAGAATGTGAACAGAGAGCGGAGGAGATGTGAAAATAACAGGGAAGTGGGAACACAGAGAAGCATGCTGAGGGTTTTTTTCTTTTTTTTTTTGTTGCAGAGATGCGTGGGGTGTTACTGTACCTCTGCTGCCAGTGACTGTGGGGTCTGAGGCGTGGGTGCTTAACTGAATAGTAGGATCTGGAGGGATGGGATGTAGGGGGGGAGTGGTGGATGGAGGCAGGGTGGTGGGGGCGTCTGGTGGAGGGCACAGACAGACAGACATTAACAAAAATAATACAACAGCAACAAATGAATTCACACAACAAACTCTGGCACCAACCAACACAAGAGGATGTATTTGTTTAGACTATTRTCTATTTTCCGCAGTATAGAATGTGACCAGGGTGCTGGAGTCGATTATGTTGACTTCACATGAATTCTGGGAAAATGTTGCTATGAAATGTAAATGGAGAAAGTTACTGGGGCAAATGTTGATGATTTGAGTGTTGTAATAGACATTATTATTTACATTTGATGTCAGAATTCGAGTAAATTTTCTAACTAGTTTAACTGAGATGCAAAACAGTAAAAATATGTAGGTACAGTATCTCCTGTAAAATATTGCATTATTTATGAGCTTATCAATGCTATGACATTGCATTTTTTTTGTTTTGTCACTTGCTAAATCTGCATGTCTGTATTGATTAAGATACTCCTCATCTGGACATTTACGGGGATGAATGTGTACCATATCTTCTGCACAAAAGTCACTTTTTTAAACAGTTTGGCTGGTCCTGAGACTTACAGGCAGGTGCGACTTATACATTTTTTTCCTCCCCATAAAACATTTTCTGACTGATACTTATAGTCCGGAAAATGTGGTGCTTCCAATTGTAAACTTAAAGTGCTCTTTTGTAGTGGCCAATATTTTGATTGCTAATTATCTATATTCCTGTAAATTATTTAAAAAAAAGTATCCTAATGTTATTGCACATGTTTAAAACAACAGTTTTCATGCCTTATTGTTCTGTCAGTAAACAGGGCACAGCTAACGTTACCCCAAATTAGCTAGCACATGCTAATCAGACACAAAGAAAGGCAAATGCTATTTGTGAATTTCTGGATGACATAAGGTAAAAAAGTCCACCTTTTTATAATAAGCTTTTTATCTATTTTATGAGTAAGCAGTTCAGACATCTTAAAATGTCAAGTTTAGGTTATAGATTTATTTTTTGTTTGTTTTACAATAGACAAGATGAGGCCTATTATGTGGGTTTATTTAAAGCAACGAATATAAAATGTATGCATGGTAACCTAAAAGCCTACTTCCCCACATTCTCTCTGTTATTACAGTAAAAATAACTGTCTTTRAATGTAAATGCTTTTTCACCAGCATTAACAGAATTAATCTTGAATTTGCTAACACTGGTGTCTGACGCTGGTGTCTCTGAAACAAAAAAGGTGGATTGGAAATGAAGAGAATAATGTGACAAAGGATCTGTGCAAAATGTACATTTTCAAAAGTGGTTTCAGAATCGGCAGTCGWGCCGTCATTACCGAGCTCTGCATTRGAKTCCGTGCTAGGAAGTACTTAAAAAAACGTCATAAGTTGGAGCAAAAGAGGAAAAGGGGATTGAAACAATGTGTGACCAAGTTAATGAGGTTACACTACCACCTTGGCTTTAATGTTTATGTCACTCTGCATTTTATGGTGAGCTAGAGGCTTTTAATTGGCTGAGGTCGTCTTTCTCAGGGCCAACTGTCCTCTGTGTCTCGGTGACATTTCAGTGTGACTCACAGAGCAGCTAACTGCATGTCTGCAGGAAATGGGTAAGAGAGAAAACGTCTCCCCGTTGGAAGGGAACCATTAAAAAGGTATTTRTCAAGAATTATGGAGGCAGTTGTAAAAGGCTAAAAGGTGTGCTAATCACTAATGAAGGGTAGAAGCAGACCCGGTGCCATTTCAGGCGAACACGTATTGAATCTGAATAGGCCTCTTTGACCCTCCCGTGCACAGAAGTCCCTGTATTTGTGTGTGCAGAATTTGTCAGTGTAACATCYTCTTCGCCATCACGTGCATGGGTTATTCTTGCTTGTTAATTTCAGCTGACATTTAAAGGAACTGTGAAGTGCAGGCACATATGACATATGTAAAAAGCACAGTAATTAAACCAGAGCTGCAACATTTAGTCCATTAGTCAAAATAAATGAATAAAGTGGTTTAGGGAAGGTGAAGATGAATGGGAAATGTAAAGTTACCGGATAAACCTTGTATTATACTGGCTATTTTACTCAGTATATATGTTTATTTTCTTGACTAACAGTTTAAATAAAGATTAATGGGTTTTTGTTCCTGCATGTATCTGAAATCTGAAAGTGAATTCTGTATTTTCTTTTGCTCACACATATCTCTCACAAAACTTTAAATTTAAAAGTAAAAAGGATCATAAATTTTAGATGAAATGCATAGACAGTTCAACTAATTATTGCAGCAACAAACCTTAWTAAATGCATTATTATTACATTTAAGTATGTATGAAGTTTAAAAAGCACAACCAATGAATGACAGTTTCTGCTTTTACAATTCATTTGTTATATTACGAACACAATTTAGCAAGAAACATAATTAACTAGTTTATAAAGACTGGGATTTCACTCTTCCTTTACCCTAGTGATGTAAACTCAACACAAAAAGTACAGATATTTGTGTTTGGTAGATTACTTCTTTGTTATAATGGTAAATGTTATACTGTGGGAAAGCCTGTTAAATTCCRCTTTAAATGGTCCCACATTTGTAAGGAACATGCATTTGTGGGATGAGCAGTGGAGCTGAGTATGTGGGTTGTGCACATGAAAAAAAAAACTGCCAAATCTTCTCTGCTAAATAGCTTATTTTGTTGTTGTTATTGACGCTTGTTTTGCGATTCTAGTACCCCCAGGTGCAGCCAATCAGGTGCCCAGTATAAGATTTAGTGCCATGAAGCATTGTGACAACAAATAAATAATCTACAAAACACAAATTTCATTACATTTTGTGCTAAGTAGATTAAAATAACAGCCCAGTAACAAAGCAGAAACTGAAATTTCGAACRATTAACATGCTGTTCATTTAGACAATGACATTGCTATATATTTCAATTACATTTACAGTCTTAAAACCTATTTGTGCAATGAGCTGAATCAATTCACAGCATAATGAATATACAGTAATAGGCTATAGACTGAGTTTATGAGCATGGACAGTCTGTTTAAACCTACGCATGGTTTAAATTTAAAAGGGACATATCTTTCAAAATCCACTTWTTTAGCCATTAAATACATTTTGTTGTGTATTTGGAGTCTCTAGGAGTGAAGAAAATMTAAATTTAGACTCCACTGTTGTTGCATTATCTTTATTTTCTCTTTGGTTCYTATTTTTCAACCTGTTCAGTTTTCTCTATTTTCTATGATGTTTTCTGAACTATTATGTCACAGTATTTGCAACGGAATACCCAAATAATGTTTGGACTTACCAACTACAATTTTATTGTATTTATTCTCCTCTGGCTCTGGGTCAGCCTCTGGCTCCAACATGTAAGGCTGGATGGACAAGTCTTTCCTTGTTGACATCTTTTAATTAATTTGTAAATAAAAAAGWGTCTGCACAGCTACAGTATATAATCATAAACCTCTCAATTAAACRAGAATGGACAAAGCATTGCAATTCAACTTTATATAGACTCCAACTGAATGATTTAAATGTGAAAAAGAAGGTTTTCAAAGCATAATTTTCCTTTAATTTCATTTTTTTGTCTTTTGCTTAAACCCATCCTCAAAGAACAACATTAAGTTATTTGTTTTATTTTAGAAAACTTTTTAATCTTRTCGAGTAGTGCTACCTGCATGACAGATGATTTTCTTTTTTGTAAGCAATCTTACTTTTTTTGTGTTTTGATGTTAGTGTTTTTCACCTCTGGCAAAATTCTTCTTTTGTTGAACTTTTATTTTATTTTATTGCTTTAGCAGCACTTTTGCACAACAAAATGGTTTTTCTGTCATCCACCTACCAACCCCTACCCGTCCTCCTGCATTTGGGTCCCATTTTTTTCCCTCCAATGTTTCACAACTAAAACAGCTGAAAGAAGCAGACATTCACCCGTCTTTATAGGATGAAGTGTGCTTTTAAATAAAAGAGCAAATGGAACTCTTCTCTAGATTTATGTATTAGGATTAATGTAATATTTTATTGACCAACTAGGAGAAACAGTTTTTTTTGGTTCATCGTTACAACCTGCCTAAACTCTTTGAAGCAGAGGGACAAGTGATGCGTCGCCGCTCTGCTCTTTCTCTCTCTGTCTCTTTCTCTTTTTTATTTTTTTATTACTTAATACCAAGAGACAAATGGCAGAGCAGAAACGGAAGCGAGAAAGAGCTATCTGTTTTCCCTGACAGTGAGTCGCTTTATCCTCTACCTCCTCTGGCGTTACCAGGAATTACTTATCATGATATTCCTGACAACGCAGCACTAAATTCTGCCTCCCTCACACATTTCCCTCTAGGTGTGTGTGCCTGTGTGTGTATGTGTGTAGCATCTGGGACATGGGTTTATTTAAGGAAAGGCACTGGTAGCATTTGTTCCACCTGAGGCCCATATTTTCCTATGAGAGATTGCGCCACTAATCACTCTCTGCACTGATGCAGTAAGCAGATCAGGAGGCATTATGATCTTGATTTTTGTTAACTAGTTTGGAGTTTCTGCTTGTGAAGTTCACACTTCTCASTATTTACATACACACAATATTTAGCATTATTGGACTACAATGTGTTTTCTTGCAGTATTTATTATTAATATTATTTTTAACAAATCTTTTAGTTTAGGATCTAATAACCTAAAATTCAGATCCCCAGACATCATCCCTTCCCCTGAACTCACCATAGACGTAGAGTACAAATTCAGCACRGCTGGTCCCTAGGTGGTTGCTAGCTTCACAGCGGTAGGTGCCATTGTCTGTCTTGTTGAGTGAAGTAAAGGTGAGCTCCCGRCCCTCAACAATTATTCTGTCCAGGTCAGGAAGTTCACCTCCYTCCTTTGTCCACATCACCGGATCAGGCCTGGGATTAAACAGCATTTTTGAGGAAACCAAACTCACATTGTAGTACATGACCTGAGTATTAAAAAAAAAAAAAACGAGGACACAATCAAATAATGCAGAATTTAATAGACTTACGAGGGGTTTCCTCTGGACACACACTCCAGCTTTAAATACTGTCCCTCCTGAGGGAGTGCAATGGAGTTTATGATCTCCACACGTGGTGCGTCTATGAAAAGACAGAAAGTTATAGAATGGGGGAAATAATGTGGAACACACCATCACAGACAAAAAGATCTGTCTCTATCATATAGTTAGCACAAAAAGTAATGCCATTTGTGTTTGGTAGATTATTTCTTTGTTGTAACAATGCTTCTCGYCAATAAATCTTYTACCATTGGAAAGCCTGTTAATTTCCCTTTTAAATGGTGCCAGATTTGTAAGGAACATGCATTTGTGGGGTGAGCAGTAGAGCTGAGTATGTGGGTTGTGCAAATGAAAGATTTACKAAATGTCTGCCAAACTGCTTTTRCTGTTGTTGCTATTGACACTTGTTTTGAGCTTCTGGTACCCCCAGGGGTCATGTTTGGTTGAWCAAAATCTACTTTGAATCTAGAAGAGCTTGMGGGGGGGTGATTTTTACACTTTTCTCTAACACTTTATTGTTGAGTGCGTGTGCTTTGTACACTCACAGTGGACCTCCAACACTTCGGTGGCTTGCTGTGGTGCCTGTGCGAGTGCCACATGGTCCACTCTGCAGGTGTAGGCCACTCCATCATCATTTCTGTCCACGTGCAGCTGCAGAGAGCTTCGCACTGTAAATGTCTTCCCACTTGCATTCACCTCTTTGGCACCTTTGAAGAGAGATGCACACGTTCACCAATGCAGCCCATTTATCTTGCAAGACACGATGACAGTAAACATCAGAGTATTACCCATGTGTTCCACAGTTTGGTTAAAACTAACTTTTAAATCCACAAACATATCCTGACTGGGTTTTCTATGAACTATAAAATTTAAAGRTAGTCCTAGTGTAAGTCCTACTGAGTATTTATGTATTTATTTGTGAAGGTATTTTTTAGAGCAACCATCTTAATCTATTTAAAGCTATTAATGTGTTGTGCTAAAGGCTGTACTTTAGGCTTGGACTCTCTAAATGTGATATGAATGTTGAAAATGTAAAGCTATTTAACCTAATGTATGGTTTCACCACTTTACATTCAAACACTAAAATTTATTTCACTTCTTCCTCTAAATCTTTTACATGACTGTTGGATCCACTGCGATAGAAAAAGAAAACCCTCTGTTGGTCAGCTATTTGCCTTGTAGCAAAAAATAATCATACCTATTCATCTGACAAATTTGTTGTCAGAGCGATACTGGCCAACACCTGCCTTGAATCCCAACCAAATGGCTCATGTGCACTTCTTTCCCCATCAGCATCCCAAATCACTGCCTGCTCAAATTATCTGCATAATCTCTCGAAATTTGGCATACGTCTTGATTACATCTTTTRCCTTTTTGCTTCATTTGCCTCCCTAATGATATCGACTTAAAGTAAGTCAAATGTGTATGATTGGACGGGCCATGACCTCTTCCCCTCTAATGAGGAGATCAGAGATTGCTCGTCTGGGTTATTGATTCATTTTTCCTCTACAGGTAAAATGTCCTGATGCTTTGCAGTATCTGTTAAGAGTAGTTACTTGATGTTTTTTCCTCATTCCCAACGTAAATGCCTTGATTGTGATTAAAGAGTGACATTTTCTCCTTTTGGAGAAAATTAAAAGTGAAAGAAAAGCTTAATTAATGATTCTACACAACTGTACTATCTGTTTTTAAGTGAATAAATATGAAGACATTTTTTTAGTCATGTTAGATACTGATTTCAAAAGCGCTACACCATGTCCATAGTTTTCCTTTTTAAGTATTGATTCTTATAAGCTATTGTTTGACTATTATTATGTCTTGATTAAAATAGGTTTAGATACATGCCTGAAACATCATGACAGCACATAATAAAAACCGTTTATAAAAGCATTAGGTGAGCATTGCTGTTCAGAGTGTCTGCGATTCAGCCGTAGGCCAGTAGTGGGCGTACCAGGCACTGAAGAGCATGTATTTATAAACCGGGACTTACAGTTTTCATCACCGTTGGTTTCATTGCCTGCACAGAGCATTAAAAACCACCGTTCACTCCAGTCACTGGTGTTGTATGGTCCATTCTCTTCACATTTTAATCTATTCAACATTTATGTGGTTTCGTGTCAATTTCACTTAACGAACACTAAATTTCCTTACAAATACATGCTTGGGATTTTTAAAATTTTTGACGTTCAGCTCACATAGCATATACAGTATTTTCCACTATTTAGCTGCATCTATGTGTTCATTATGCAATATAAATCACCACTTTCCCTTACAGACTAAACAGTCAGGCCAAAGCCAACAGTCTCATGTAAATCCACCATCATTGTTTTTAACATTTATAGTTAACAAAGCCCAACCACCTACAAGGCACTATTTTTAATGCTGTTTTCCTGCAAATTAAATCTGTTTCATCAGTCTCCAGCCATCTCAGACAGCACTGTTTGGTCTGCTCACATGAAGCCAATTCATCCTACTCAATTTATTTTAAAAAGAAGAAGAAGAAGAAGAAGAAGAAATGCCAGGCAATGTTCAAAAGCCCAGGCTTATCTTGACATTCAGATGCTGTTTTTTTCTCTAAAAAACACATTTCCCCTTCCATTTCATAACATACGTATAATAAACCATTTTTTAAGTATAAGGACACTGTATGTACAATTTTCTTTCCATGATGGCCACTTGTTTGTAGCTCCTAAAGAGAATGTTTATGCTCTGCATCCTCCTCTCCTCTCTGCTCAGCTGCTCCACTTTCTCAGCTTTCCTCCTTACTGTCTCTTCTACCTCTACATTCTGCCAATCAACTATTCTGCTCAGCCACTTCCACCAACTGAGGCAATGAGAATGGCTCCCCAAGAGATGAATGACTGACAGGTCTGCAGTGTTCGCAACATCCATCCAATCAACAACAGAGAAGAAATATGGAAAGATTTCTTTATAAAGACGAAACTGCAGGAGATGTAGAGAGACTTGAGAAAGAGAACAAGAAGGAGAGGAGCACATACATTTTAAAACCGGAAAAAAAACTTCAAGAAAAACAACCATCTTTTTGCTTTAACATCACTTTAAAGAAATAAAGTCTTTGCCTGGATAAGCTAAAAAATAGAACAAATCATATTTATTCGTACAGTTTAATTATACATGTATTTAGGCCCACATTTGATAATGGAAAATACTGTATGCTTGGCATTGGCCTGCAGCGTTTGATTTTTAGTTTTTTTTTTTAATGAGGGGCCATTAGAGACGTTAATCAGTATTAGGCTAGCACACCCATCTATGAAACCCCAACTGCGTCACATTTCATACAGAAAACCACCCAAGTGAAATACTCTCATATGTAATCATAATGTTTTAAAACACACAACTGAAATGCTTCTACACACAGAGGAGAAAAACTTTTTTCAGGGGTTTGTATGGATCCTCACATTTAAAATGTTCCTCATGGTTCCACAGAAAATACAATGTCTTATCCTACTTTAATGGTTTGTCCTTGCAGACTGCAAAATTGGAGTCTGCTAATTCACTTTTGCATTGCTTATTGCAGTTTTATTATTTGTGATATCAGAAGTTTTTGAACTGGATACTAGACTGAGACACTCCGCTACTATTGTGCAAATTTGTAATACATATTTTCAGTTCACTGTTGTTGAAATGATGATTCAAGAAAGAAGTAACTCAGTATAACAAGTGAGACATCTGCAAAATGTCTAGGGAGATTCCGAGATCATAATGACTTTGACTAATGCATGAAATACAATTAAACCTGTGAAAGCATAAATGTGGTTTGTGTATATCTTTAGGTGTGTATTTTTGAAACAACAGCTCTATACTGTTGTATACATGTATACATATTGCATACTAAAACAAAGTTTTCACTTTTAAGACTTCTAAGATTCTCAGATGATTGTTTGACACACAATTTTTATCATTTATCAGCTTTCTATATGCTATTATTTGACCATTTTGTGCTGTTTCCTGTTATTTTGTTCAGTGTAATGAAATACGTTGTGTACCAACCGCTTAGATATTTTTTGAAAATTTAGCGATGGCAATCTGTTCATTTTGATACAGTGGTTATTTGGAAAAATGTTGCCAAACAAAATGGATGAAATAGAGGTGGGAAAAAAAGGAAAATTGGATCCCATTCTGCCATATTCACCTGCAGTACTTCTCCTTCACAAAAAGCCTGGTAATATTTGGCTCAGACTGCAGCATGCTGTTCAGTGGGTGGAAGCTCTYCACCATTGGTGTGAGCCAAGACAAGCATAGAGGATTAGAAATGGAAATGACAAGCGTAAAATGAGAGAATCTGACCTTTTTATTCCATTTCACAGGAGAGAAGGACAACCCAAGAATAGGAAACAGGGAGGACAAGACAGAAGAGACTGTGGAGGTCTCCTGCTGGGTAGGAGGTATCAACAACAACAGCGACAGTGCTGAGTAATCCTGGCAGCAGGGGTCTGAGGGCTGACTCAACATTCCCTGAACTGCATCCCATATGAGATTTACAACAATTTGCTCAAGCTAGAACAACGTAAAAACTAGCTGTAGGTGGGGGGACACAGATAATAAGTGTAAATACACAAGTACAAAACCATTTAATATGATCATCTCATCTATGTTGTTTCCTTCTGGATAACTTGCAAATAGTTAAACTTACAAAAGGAGCCAAAATGCACAGCAAGCTCCAGCTCTAATACGGCGTACAGATGAAATAACATGTTCTTCGCCATCTTCTTACTTCTTCTGGATGCTGTGCAGTACTGAGGGAATTTAACGTGTATGCTTCCTTTATATTTCTATCCAACTCATTAAAGAATTTATTGTAAGTGCTTTCTGCAAAGATAATGACATTTTACTGATTTTCATCAGTTGCTTACAGAAATTGAGTACACTRTAAAAATGAAATGTTGGATTTACTTAACCATGTTATGTGATCTGGTTCCACTTAACTGAGTTGAGTAAATTCAAAGCAACATTCTCATGTTCTTTGGCTAAAAAACTGGTATATTGCTTTGAATTTACTCAACTCATTTAAGTGGAACCAGGTCACATAACATGGTTAAGTAAATCCAACATTTCATTTTTTACAGTGTAGCTCTCAATTGATGTGCTCAGTATTATGTAATTCTAACACATTTGTCCACATGCAAATGTTTAATTAAAAAGCATAAAAATCTGGCACAGTTGGATTTAATTGCAACAAGTTATTATGAATTAAAAATATGAAAAACTGATTGTTGGAGAATATGTTTAGAACATTTAGTCAGTCAGTCAGTCAGTCAGTCAGTGAGTCAGTCAGTGAGTCAGTCAGTCAGTCAGTCAGTCAGTGAGTCAGTCAGTGAGTCAGTGAGTCAGTCAGTGAGCCAGTGAGTCAGTCAGAGAGTCAGTCAGTCAGTCAGTCAGTCAGTCAGTCAGTCAGTCAGTCAGTCAGTCAGTCA